TTTTTTTTTTTCTTGGGGAATTACATTGAAAATTAGCTTGCTTAGTTTGGATTTAAGCCCTTTAACCTTAGTCTTTGTAAAACTTCCTTTCCCTCCCAAAATTCTCTTGTAAAAAAATAAAACTAAAACAAAAGTTTCGAAATAATAAGGTTGTACTATCATGATTAATCGTGTGTTTTTCGATTCGAAATACACTAAATTATAAATAAAAGAGTAATGATGGAGTATAAAAAACTAATGGTAGAAAAAATGAAAACTTGAAATGAAAATTTAGAATTAATAGCCAACTATCTAAATATCTCAATGATTATTTTTTTTTTATTAAAAGTAAGAGGTTCTAAATTCGAATTGCATGACATACGGGTAGAGTAAGATAACTGATAGAGATGATTGTATCTCATTATGCAATTAGGATAAAAAAAATTTTAAATTAATAATGTGATATAAATTATATTAGTAAATTAATTAATATATATAATATCATGAATTTTAAAATATAGGCTAGTGATAAAATGCATCTAGATTCTATATATATACATATAAAAGAATATAGTTCCTATGCATCTCTCTCTTAAAAAAAATTATTTTAAAATTATATAATTTTAATAAATATTTATTTTCAAAAATAAAATACTTTATTTTTAAAAGTATGAAATAGAGTATTTTTAGTTTTTTAAAGATATTTTATTAAAACAATATAATTTTAAAGTAATTTTTTTTTCTTAATTTTTACTTTTTTCTTAATTTTTAAGAGATATAGCAAATAAGTAGTAATCTTTTTTATATATAAAATATATATATTTATGGTTAAAATGTTCTTGAGTTAACTTTTATGTATATTGAAACTAATATATCTCTAGACAATTTTAAAAATACACCCACTACATCAACTTAATACATTTAAAAAAAATTTTAATTTCACACTTAAAATTTAAACTAGATCTATAAATTAATACTAATCTACCAATAAATTTAACCTTACATTTATTCATTATGTTTTTAAATGTGTGTAGGACATCCCACACCCTACTTGAACTAGCAACTTTACAAAGTTACAAAAAAATGCAGCATGTGCCTCCCCAGACCCCATCAATTGGAATCTTATGTGTCCAACAAACAAAAGAAACACCACCTAGAAGGAATGAAATTTTTAGGATAAAATACTAATTAAGCTCCTTAACTTTTAGATTTATATTGAAATTATCCTTAAACTTCAAAAGGTATTAAAATTATTTTTAAACTTTAATTTTCAATAGCAATGTAGTCCTTCTATTAACGGAAATATTACATGACTCGTTGTTTTATCACAAAATCAATCTTTTTTAAATATTAATGATGTATAAAATCAAACAACTATATTTTGTCACTATGGCATATTTTCATTTACACATCAAATTAATGTGTAATCAAAGTTGAATGATCAAATTAGTACTTATAATCAAAGTTCAATGACTAAGTTGGTACTTGTCCCAAAGTTCAACAATTAAGTTAATTTTGATATGTAAATAAAAATATATCACAGTGATAAAATATGACTATTTGATTTTATATACCATTAATATTTAAAAAAAAAAACAATTTTGTGCTAAGATATTGAGTTGCGTAATATTTTTATTAACAAAAATATGATTTTAACATCAAAAATTAAAGTTTAAGAACAATTTTGATATTTTTAAAGTTTAAAAATAATTTCAATATATTTAAAAACCGAGGGACCAAATTAATTTTTGAACTAAGTTTTTATGATAACATCTAATTGGGGCTATATATATATATAAAGTTAAATTATTGAGTTATAAATTTATCTCACCACAATGAAGAAAGAAGGTTCTAGATAGGTATAGCTTCACTACCTATTAATTAATGACATTCACTGCAGCAGATAGAATCATACCAACCATATAGGATAGTTCTGTTTTGGTGAAGAAAGAAATTTTTGGACATTTCTCATGTCAAATACTCTCATTAATCTCGCAGTTTTCTCTTTGTTCACCTGTCCCCTCCTTTTTTTTTTATGAAATATGCATTTCATAACACCCAATCATGGCTGCTAAATAATTTTTGAACATGAAAAAATTTGTCTACCAAGTATAGTTTCTCTTTTGCTTCACATTTGGATAAAAAGGCAATTTTCAAATATTTTCAAATAATTTGGTACCCAAAAAACAGATTTCCCTACAAGAAGCAGGGTATTTAATTTACTAAGGATTTGAATTCAACAGAGAAAAGTGAATGCTAATCCAAATCAAACAAGAATCATGAAAAATCAGATGCTCCCAACAAAAAGCAGATTTCTTTTTTCATTGTCAAAAACTATTTCCAAAAGCAAAAAAGTCCACATTTTAAACAAAATTTTCAAAAATTATATAGTTTTCATAAAATTAAATCAACCCATTAATTACGAAAATAAATATTAAAATTGACCTTGTCAATAAAAATAAACTTAATTTTCTTGATAGTAATTACTTTAATTGCCTTGTAGGAAAAAACCATCAATCAATTATCTCCAAATAAAAGAAACACACTGAAAAAAAAAAAAGTATTCTTCAAAAGAATATCATCCCATTAATCAAAACCCTAAATAAAATTTAAATTTCATCCAATTATTTTCATTATTTAATACTCCAGCATATAGAAAAAAAAATTTAGCTTTGAAAAAAAAAAAAAAGAAAAAGAAAAAGAAAAAGAAAAAAAACCCAACCCTCTCTGTTCTCTTTATATATCTGCAACAGACGCGGAAAGCAGGGGAAAAGGCTTCGTTTCCTCAAAAAAACTACAAAAACAGTTGCTTGCACGATCCCTTAAGCAAAAAGAGGGAGAAAAAACTGATCTTGCCCCTTTAGGCAATTGAGCAAAGCTGAATTCATATGGTGGTTTCCTTTTTCTTCGCTTTCTGTTGAAGCAGGGTTAGTGTTCATCCACATTAGAGGTAACTTCCCATCCCCTCCTCGTTTTTATCAGTTCTTCTGGTTTTAGAGACCGGGGGCTATCAAAATCTGATTTTTTAGGGGAATCCGAATTGGGTTTTTTGTTTGTGGCTTTTTTGAGGTAATGGGTCTGCTCCGAAATTGAGATTTTGGAGATGGGTTTCGATGCGTCTTTGTCTTCTTCTGTGTCTTCTTCTGGGTGGTGCTGGTGGTGGTATTGGTGCGTTTTCAGCTGTCTCTTTTGGAGATTCTTGTGTTCTAATCCCTCTGTAATAATGGCGTTTTTCCTTGTTTTTCACGCTTCTTCTGAAGCAATCATTTATGGATTAATTTCAGCTGGTTTTTTATTTTTTTTTTATGATTATTCATGGGATGTTTGACAGAAGATTGGATGTTTTGAACTTGAGTCGTGTTTTCTGGACGAAATTTGTGTTGTTCTGCTTCATCTCTAATTGATCAGTGCTTTGCTTATCAAAATTTTAAGTCTGGTAATTTAGACATTTGAGAGCTGCTTTTATTAATAGGAAGGATTACTTGTTTTTTTTTTTTTTTCAACGAAATCCAAGAAATATGGTGCTTAAATTATATATATATTTTTCCAAAATGGTTAATATTTTGTAGATTTTTTAGACCACTCACTTTCATTGTTTCATAGAATTTTCTACTGTTTGATTGAATGAGTGAATATTGTTGATGCTTATTTTTAATTTTTTGTTTGGCTTCATTGATAGAATTAGCAGTTCCAGTGGCATCTTAGGATGTCTTCTTCTTGGTTTTGTCTGAAATAGAGTTGTTTATTTCTTGGTTTTGTCTGAAAAAGAATTCTTTATTTGTCTTGTGATAATGATTGATTCTGTAATGTAGTTTTAATCAGGGTCAAGTTGGATTTCCAGATTTGCCTAATAGTTTGTTACTTTAATATCATTTCAAAAACCAGGAGTTGCATTGATTTTTTGTTACAATCTATGTCATTTTTTGCCTTTTGTTTGCTTCTAGGTAGAAGAATTTGTGGAATTTACTGCAGCCAAGTTCTGGTTCAACCTAATATCAGAAAAGAACTAGGTTATTTTTCATCTATGCTTTAAATGATAAAGCAGTCTTAGTAATTCCAGATTTTTGTGCATTTAATCTAGCAACATCACAACTCATTGATAGTTATGTTCTTTTTTCAGGATTGCCGAGCCAGGTCTATTCACTTAAAATCTCCTACAAGTTTGATGGCTGCGGAGACTGTTAGTTCACCATTGGCACCAGGAGTTTATCCACCAGATGGAGGTAACGCAAGAAGAAAATCCATGGGAAGTGCAGTTTCTTCAGATGGTGGGGAAAAAATTTTACCTCATTATTTGAGAGCTTCTACAGGTTCTTGTCATGATTTTTGCAAGTATGGGAAGAAACATGCATTTGAAGAGAAGGCCAGACTTCCCATATCTAAAAGAATTCCCAAAAAGCAATCTGGTGAGCGAAGTTCAGTTGAGAGCTTGGACTTGCCACAGGTGAAGAGGACATTAGCAGTTAAGCTCAAACCTTCTCCGAATTCCAGAAGCCATACTCCTGATTCCTCTGAGATCATCAAGAGGGAGGTGTCCCCAAAATATCCTGGCAGCAAAAGTCCAAGAAAACATGAAGCTTTGTCTGACAAGAAGACATCATTGGTCAATCTTGGACCTTCATCTAATTCAAAATCCCGTTTATCTGAGCCCTCTAGATTCAAAAAGCAGGAAGAGTCGTCATCTTCTGAAAAAGTAAGGGTCTCTTCAAAAGAAGCTTCATCTGGAAACAAAGGAACAAGTGTGTCCCTGAAGTGTACTACCTCTTTGAAGCCGAAATCTTGGACAGAGAAGGTACCATCCTCTCCCGCCCATTCTGGGGTTTCATATGTCAGAAGGCTTAGTGGAATCAATGATGTCAAGACAAGAAAAAAGACAGGAACCTCCAAAGCAGCAGTAAAGAATACTGTAGCAATGCCAAGAGCTTCCTTTTCCCCAAGATCTATCAATGGAAATGCAAGGCTCATTACGAAGCAAAATAATAGCTTAAAAGATATGTCTTCTTTGAAGAAACAGAACAAGGTCAAAAAGGCTGAACCTGAGCAACCTTGCACTGAACTGTCAGAAAGCAACAATGATGCACTCCAGGAAAAAACCTTGTATGTCATCAAGATGGAGACAGAGAATGAAGTTTTTGAATCTGATAAAAATGAAAATTGTGTTGTGGAATCATCTCCACTTCCTCCATCTCCCAGGTTGTCATCCCTTCCAAACTCTCCAAGTTCATCATCTCACGGTGAAGGAGATCAAGAGGAATCTGACTGGACAGTAACTGAAGCAGAGAATGACTCCTCTTCTGATTACAATGAAACAGGGAACTTAGATGGAAAAGAATGCCTAGAAGGAGAGAAACGAAGTAGGCCCGTAATGGATGGGATAGTTTGTTCTGATGTTAAGAATTCTAAATCTGTTAAACTACATTTTAGGAGAGGAAAAGTGGTTGACGTTCAGACTGGACATAATAGTCCAAGGAGGCTGAAGTTTAGGCAAGGGAGAGTGTTGGGCGAGAACCCAAATTCCAAGGCTGTTGGCCGAAGAAGCCTTAGGATGAGAGAAGCTGATGATGAGGCAAATGACAACAAACCCAGTGAACAAAAAGTTGTTTTGAGGCATCAAGATGCAGAGGGGAAGAAAGACTCCCAAGGTTTATTTAACGTTGTCATTGAAGAAACAGCTAGTAAACTTGTTGAAACTCGGAAAAGCAAGGTTAAGGCCTTGGTTGGTGCTTTTGAAACAGTGATCTCCCTCCAGGAGAAAAAACCAGCTGCTTGAGTTAGAAAAGAACTTCTCTATTAACAATTGGTTTGTCCTAGAATGGTAGGAAATAAACATAAGCTTGAGATAGGAGATGTGAAAGCTTATGGAGCTTTGGCAATGGATTTTTTAGATTACTCCTAGTTGACTTTTAGAGAATCTGGACACAGTGTTGAATGGTTGATCTCAAGTGCACTTACAGTTTTATGAAGGGTATTCTCCTTTCTAGTTTCTTCTCTCTTGATTTTCATAAACAAGTTCATATCATGTGAATAAAACAAAGTTCATCACTGTAATGTACTTCTGAGCAGAAAACGATGTGCTTCATAATGGGATTTGTTTACGCTGTTGTTTTGGTTTAATCATTTCCTTTCTCTTATTTCTCTGAAAACATTTTAAATATATATTGTATTAATAAAAAAATAAAAAAAATATTGTTATTTTGCAGTTTACTATACAGGAAATATCTCAAATATTAAGAAATTTATTTTTCATTAACAATTATAAATTGTGTAGTTTTTTTAATTTAATTTTTGATATACAATAATCATATTAAATTTTAATTAATTTAAAATTAAATTATATTAAATCTTATAAAAAATCAATATTTATTTTTTTATTTATAAAATTTGAATTTAAAATTTTATTTTAAAAAATAAAATTCTTTTTGTTCAAGTGAATCACCGTTAATTGCACTTAAACTTTACGATTCAATTATCATAAGTCAACTTATAAGATGTATCTCTTAACTCGAGAGGTAAAGTTCGACTCTCTCCCTCTTCAAAATTGTAACTTTGTTTAAAAAAAAAAAAAAGAATACCGTTGGTTATAAATTATGTAGTACGTAAACTATAAAGTAACTGCAGAAAAGAAAACACAACCGTGGGTTTGGGGGTCTGGAGAAGGACAATAGGAGAAGAAAGGAGAAGAGGCCACGTAAGCAAGATGGCAGCAACCAATCCAAAAATATTTAAAAATCATATTGCCATGTCAGCCAAACGCGGCTTGTTCAGTATCTTTCGCAGGTCCCGACTCCCGACACAAAAATCAACAGTGAAACCGCGGACCAGTCTCCGTAACCCGACCGTCATTTCCCTCAAATCACCACCAATCACAAAACACCACCTCCCATGCACAGTCCAACTAAGCGTGCTGGTCAATGCCACCTCGCGTTCCCATCAACGCAACAATCCACGTGACCCTATTCCATTCGTCATTCCTCCAACAGAAATAACTGACATGTTCCTTTACTCTTTTCTGGAATTGTTTAATAAAATTTTCTTCGTTCATTGTATGGAACGCAAAGCTCATCCCTTACCTTTTCACTTCCATCTCTGCGTTTTGGTCTCTCTCTGGACCTCCACCACCCTTCTTCCTTTTTTTTTGAAGAAAAAGGATCCTCTTTTTCAAATTCCCAGTACTTGATTCTATGGTGCATGAGGTTTCTAGTTTATGTTTCTTTTTTTTTTTTTTTTTAATGTTTTGATTTTCTTGGAAGTGTTTTAGCATCTGTAAAACCCTAACTTATGTTTGTGTTGTACTTTTTTCAGAGTTGGGTTTTTCTTTGGCTGTGTAAAGGCTGGTTTTTGTGAGCTCAGGTGAGGAATTGGGTTTTGATTTCTTGTTAATGATGATCTAGTGTCGTTTCAGTTTGTTTGCTTTTGTTTTGATTGATTTGAGTTATGGGTTAGGTTCTCTTTCTAAGATTTTGATGTGGATTGTGTGGATTTTAGTGAAGAAGTTAGGTACGTTTTGTTTGGAGGTTAAGCATTATTTCTATTGGTAGCAACTTTTGGTTGATGTGGAAATTGTTCTGGATCTAAGCTTATGTGGTTGAACGACATGCATTGCTAGCATGAACTGAGCTTTTGGTCAGTTTGCTTGATCTAAGATTATGTTCAATGAAATGGGAAGATGGTAAAGAGGAAAAAGCAGACTGAGGTCGGCTAAGTTGGAATGAAATTTGAAGATATTTGGATTTTGAAGTGTGAGTAGAAAAACCATTAGCTTTGGTTGCTAAAAGCTTTGGACTAACATAAAATTTCGTTGGCCTTTGATAACCAGTACATCCGATCATTGTTTCTTTCACTCTTTGTGAGTTGATACAATGATTCTAACCAAGCAGTACCGTTGCATACACTCTTCTAGCTGTCAATGTACAAAAGGGCATCTGAGTGAAGATGTGATCTTTCTAGTGTTTCATCATCTGAACTGGAACCCGAAGTTGATTGCCACTTTATCCTGTGTCTGCAAATGGTTTGATGATCTTGCCAAGCGAGTACTATGGAAGGAATTCTGCCGTACAAGGGCCCCAAAGATGATGCTTGATCTGCAGTCCAGTGGGAGCCACAGTGTTGATGGGAGCTGGAGGGCACTTGGAAAGCTGCTTATTTATTGTTCAGGATGTAGCAAGGGTGGCTTGTTCGATAGCATTCACATCCCTAGCCATTTTGTTTACAGGACCAGGTTCTCCAGGACCTCAGGGAAAAGCTTCCTTTTGCCACAATGTAGGACAGATGTTTTGTATGTGTCTGACCCTTGTGAACATCTTGACCAAGGTGAGGAGGGTGATGTGGGATTCTTCCGAGGAGTTTTTAAGTCATTTGCTATGTCAAAGGTCCGGAAGATGCTAATTAAAAGGAATGCACAATTTCATCCTTCAGAGGTGTGTCCTTATTGTAAAGCAAAATTGTGGAGCATGCTGCAAGCAAAAATGATACCACAGAGTGCAAGCTGCAGATTGGGTGCTTATGAGGACTGCATTGAGTACTATGTATGCCTCAATGGACATATGCTTGGTATTTGTACCCTCTTGCCCTTGTCTGATTCTGAAGAGGTAGCATCTGAATCGGAGTGATAGTTGGAAAGGAATGCAGGTGATTAAGAAAGCTGTATAATCTGCTGTATAATCCTGTAATTTTTCAGATTCTAGGCATGTTATGTTGTTGTTATTATTATTATTTGGCTGTCAAGCATATGTTATGTTATTGCATTTTTTCTTTTTTGTGTAACTTTCCTAGGAAACCTACACCAAAGGAATTGTAGTTAAGAGTGAAAAACTGAATGAAACGCCTATCTTTAACAGTTTGGAAATTATATTACTTTTTATAGGCCCAATATGCGGACTTTCATTCTGAAATGTAGTTGAGGTGTTGTAGATTGTCTATAATTCAACAGTTACAGATAGGCTTAATCTCATTCTGAATCAGCAACACTGGATTTTATAATCTATAATTCATTTCTTTGCAACTGTGATCATGATACTAAGGATTGTTTAAGGTAATTTTGATGCATGTCAATTACCTTTCTTAGCCTCTATGTTCCTTTTTCTATCCAATCCAGCAAATGGAACAGAAACAAATGTCAGTGTAAATTTGTCATATATTTCACCACAAGCCCTGGTTTAAGAAAGGTAATCTTTGCTTTTCTTTATTTCTGGTTAAAGATTGGCAGTATCTGACCCGACATATCTGTTTCTTGAGCAGTTTGTTTATCATTTCAAGTGTGGATTGGCTTCCAAATGGATTGTGTTAAAGACGAAAAGGGGACTCAGCTTATTTCCCCTGAGACACGGAAACAATCTCCATCTTGATCTCAACTCTCCAACGTCATTCTGCACTTATCACTCACCAAATCTTTCTACAAGGGTCAGAAGCCTTTGCTAACAATTTCTCTATCAATTATCTACTTGCTCCACTGTTACCATCTTGAACATGTAATGCCATGTGCCATGTACATTTAAGCATGACTTATGTTATGTAACCGAAATTTGTCTTAAACAATTCATGCAAAATTGCTGTTGCGTTCAAAATATTGCTTTCTATAGTTGTATGGTTGCTTAAACAATTACAACAATCTGGTTTTGAGGGTTGTCCTATATTTATCGTCTTACAAAATGGGTTTAACTAGTATTTGACGATATTAATCACCGTTCAGTGTTGCAAGCTGGGAAGGAGTTTCTGCTGCCTGTCATGTTCTTTTATTATTATATAGAACAAGATTTGTTTCAGGCCCGTATTTACATTGAGAACCAAGAGAAAAACGCTTAGGGAGTTTGTGAAACAGCTTCTTGGCTACCTGCGGCTTGAGTATCTGGATTGCTATCAATCTTCTTGAAGACTAGCTTTTGCTGGAGAAGGTGGCCATTTGGAAATGCTGTGACCTCTGTGTCTATTAACACGGTATCCTCATCCTTGAACTCACCTCTTAAGATGCCCTTTGCGAGTTCGTTTTCCACGTTCTGTTGAATCACTCTCTTGACTGGTCTGGCACCGTAGTTCGGGTCATAACCAAGACTTCCGAGAAGCTCAACAGCTGCATCTGTTACCTGAATTTTCATCTTCTTATCCGCAATTCTCCTCTGCACACGCTCCAACTGTAAAACACATTAAAACAGTAGGTATATGGTGGCAAATTACGTCTAGAGCAGACATTCCTACAGTGAAACACAGATGCAAATAAATCAACTTTATGGAGAAATTGGTTAAGAACTATACCTGCAACCTAACAATACTTTTTATTTGCTCACGGTCCAGTGGTTGGAAAACTATGTACTCATCAACTCGGTTCATGAACTCAGGTCGGAAGATAGATCTTGCAGCCTCCATAACTCTTTGCCTAATTGTTTCATAAGCCATCTCTTTTGGCGTGTCATCATCTGTATTGAGAATGTATTGCGAACCTACATTCGAAGTCATAATGATGACAGTGTTGGTGAAACTCACAGTGCGACCCTGTGAGTCAGTTACCCTTCCATCATCCAAAATTTGAAGGAATACGTTGAATACATCAGCATGAGCTTTCTCTATTTCATCAAACAGAATTACTGCATAGGGTCTTCTGCGAACTGTCTCTGTCAACTGCCCTCCTTCTTCATATCCCACATAACCAGGTGGTGCTCCTATCAGTCTTGAAACTGCATGTTTTTCCATATACTCGCTCATATCAATCCGTACTAGTGCTTCTTCCGTGTTGAACAAGTAGGAGGCAAGGGCCTTTGCCAACTCTGTTTTTCCAACACCAGTAGGACCCATGAACATGAAACTAGCAATTGGACGATGAGGATCCGAGAGACCTGCTCGAGATCGCTGGATAGCCTCCGCTACAGCTCTCACTGCAGGATCTTGACCCACAACACGCTTATGTAGCTCTTCCTCAAGATGTAACAGCTTCTCCCTCTCTGATTGCTGAAGCTTGGAAACTGGGATACCAGTCCATTTACTAACAATTTCAGCAATGTCATCACCAGTAACTTCTTCTCTTAGCATGGATTTTCCAGATCTCATATACTCATCCAACTCTTTTTCAGCACTGGCAAGTTGACGCTGCAATGTGTTTAGACTCCCATACTTTAGTTCCGCAGCACGATTCAGATCATACTCCCGCTCAGCCTGCTGGATCTCAAGGTTAACCCTGTCAATCTATCAAATAAAACAGTCAGTGGATTACCGCTTTTGTTTTCATAATCACCAAATTTCAATAAACTTAGCCATTAAATTTACATTTAGTGATGGGAAAGAAAGCGGTCCCTACACTTGCTGATTATAAAATATCCAAAGACGTACAACCAAAAAAGGAAGCTTTTAAGAAGTATGCTGCTTCAAATGATTTGGAAAATACCAACATACCTCTTCCTTTATTGACTGGATGCGTGTCATGACTGACTTCTCATGCTCCCACTGCTCAGTCAGCTGGGCCTGTTTCTCTTTTAGTAGGGCCAGCTCAGCCTCAAGACGGTTCAACCTGTCTTTTGAAGCTCTGTCTGTATCATTAGTGAGAGACAACCTTTCCATCTCCAGCTTCAGCACTGAACGGTTGATCTCATCAAGGGCGGTGGGTTTCGATGTGATTTCCATCTTCAGTTTAGCAGCTGCTTCATCAACTAGGTCAATGGCTGCAATTTAAAACTACATTAGCTACTATAATGGTTTGTGGATATGGAAAAGTAATTTCACAAAAGCACAGGAATCATTTAAGAAATTCTACAGCTAATATTTTAAACCTAAAACCAGCCGTGGTTACTTATTTGCTGGGCAATTCACCTAGTTGGCTTCCCCATACTAGTTTCTATCAATTATAATAGTTCTGACTAGCAATCGTTTTGTGAGAATAGCAGCAATATAGTAATTAGGAAAATGCAATCTGAATTAAATTTAAAACATACAACAATTAGCACATAGCAACCCTTTTATCCATGATTTGAACATTTTTTCTTGTCGACATTTACGTGACCTGAGGCTGAGATCTATTAATATAAATACTTTTAATTATACAAAAAGTTGCAGGGAGGAAAGACTTTATAAAATATAGAAATATTGAAGCAACTAGTAAAAATACCAAAAACTCTGAATGGGCTGATTTTGAAGCGGAGTAGCTCAACAAACAGTCAACAATCTCAGTCGTCAAAATCAAATGTATATATATATATAACTATATAATTATTACCTTTGTCAGGTAAAAACCGGCCACTGATGTAGCGGTCAGAGAGGATTGCAGCTTCCACAAGTGCACCATCAGAAATGCGTACTCCATGATGCAGTTCATATCTTTCACGGAGTCCCCGGAGTATAGAAACTGTATCTTCTACCGATGGTTGATCAACATAAACCTGCTGAAAACGACGCTCCAGTGCCGGATCCTTCTCAATATATTTACGATATTCATCCAATGTTGTTGCACCAATACATCGTAATTCTCCACGACCAAGCATAGGCTTCAAAAGATTACCCGCATCCATTGCACCATTTGTAGCACCTGAAACAGAGATCAATACAACCAACAAGAAGGTTAACATTGACAAAACATGTTAATTCATAAAACCAAGTACAAACAAGCACAGGCACACACATGTGTGCACACAATAAAGTCAACCAAAATTTTCAGCATGATCTTTAGATACTGGATAATCCAACATTTAAAGCTAAAAATCCAATAAGTGTATTACCTGCCCCCACCACTGTGTGGATCTCATCAATAAAGAGTATAGTCTGTCCATCTGATTCTGTTACTTCTTTAAGTACAGCCTTCAGTCTATCTTCAAATTCTCCCCGATATTTTGCCCCAGCTATTAGTGCTCCCATGTCAAGGGATATCAGCTGTAATGTAAAAATGGGTTGGATCAGAATCCACAATTTCATAACTAATCAGGATAGGGTAAGAGCATTGATGTCAAAAGCCCCCAAACACTACCAAGAATAAGAAAGAAAATAAAATAAAGTAATAAAAAGATGAGGCTTACAACATTTTTCCTGAAAAGAAAATGCTACCAAAGAGAAAATGCTACTGGTATTCCAATTTTCAATATAAGCACACACCTTACGATTCATCAAAGCTTGAGGAACATCCCCTTCCACAATTCTCTGAGCAAGCCTGTTAAAATACGCATAGTCAGATTTTATACACAACATATTCATTAAACACCAATTAGAAAGGGTGCCAATAACTTTAAACTTGAATTCTGAACCTCAGACCAGAAGTACATTGCAACATCCTGGTTTGCAGCATGAGTTCAGGTGCATGATTTCACTATTTCAATTACAAAAACATTTTATACTCCATATATAATGAAGTTCCTTTGCCCGCCAAAACCAAGGCTCAAGCTCATATCTAACTGACAGTCTGACAACTAAAAGTTCAAGGTATTAAAAGCTGGAAATATGCCGTGAAAGTATAAAAACAACAAGAAAATAAACAACCTAGCATAGGATGCTTATGAGATGTTTCTTTGCAATCCTGCTTCTCTGCTTTGAAGCAGTAGGAAATAGGTGGAAGGGGCCATATTAAATACAAGTCTACAGGAAACCCCTTAATTGATCAATGTGAGATTTTCCCACTCAACAATTTTATAAAGCAAATGGTTAAGTGCTTACCCTTCAGAAATTGCAGTTTTACCAACACCTGGTTCACCAATTAGCACAGGATTGTTCTTTGTTCTCCTTGAGAGTATCTGGATGCACCTGCGTATTTCATCATCTCTACCTATCACTGGATCAAGCTTTCCTGCTTTTGCCATTGCAGTCAAATCTTTCCCATATTTTTCCAATGCTTCATATTTTCCCTCGGGATCTGCAACAAAATTTCAAAGTGAGACCAGCCCATACTACAAACATTGGACAAAAAGTAGGAGTCATTTGAGCAAAAGCAAATAAAGAAATGTAGTTTGCAGATGATAAGACCTCCAAATGCAAACTGAATAGTGAATAGCAACTCACATAACATAGAAACATACAAGGTTTTATTAACAAAAAATAAAGAACGACTTGTGACCTTGATCAATTACTGACTGACGTCCCCTTATGGATTCTATTGCGGACTTCAAGGCTTGTTGGGAAATCCGGAAGTCCTTAAATAATTGTTTCCCAAATCGCTGATCTTGTGCAAATGCAAGAACCAAATGCTCAACAGAAACAAATGAATCCCCATACTCTTTCTTGTATTCCCTAGCTCGTTGGATCAGAGATTCCAAATCACGACCTAACATTGATCCAGCTGATTCACCCAAAACCTAGAATAATTGGACAGCAGGGTATATACAATCAGGAAGCAGCACAAAAAGGAATCAATCAAAATAAGTAATCAATAGATCAGATTAAAACTCAGTCAAGCCAACATAGATGAAAAATCAAAACTTCTTGTAAGTCATGCATAATATTGGTGAAGGCTATCATATTAGCTCAATTTCATCATCTAAGGATCTTAATACAAAACACGTCAATGGTTAGCTCATGCTGGGTTAATGATGGATGGTTTCATTCAGTTCAGAAATAGACAGCAGTTAACTCTACGAAAATTTTCATATAATGAGCTGCTTATAAAAGATTCAGACCTTACCTTTTAACCATCAAAACAGACATGAGAAACACATGACTGAGACTAATTCTCTTACGTAGGATCAGTATAAGTAAATTCAAAAACACTGTTCTTGAAGGAAAAATTTTTCCTTTATCAATGCTAGACTAAAATATAAAGGGGATAAAGAAAAAGCTTCACTAAACTAATTGAATGCATCCATGTGTAACTCAAATGGACAAACCCATAAACATATCTAGTGGAATGAAGTTGGGTAGGGCTTACCTTTGGCTGGCGTTGGATGTATTTATCAGTGGCTTCAAGAAGTCGTGTATTGTCAACTCCAACTTTGGAAAAGATCCGACGAGCAAGACCATTCTTCTGTTCCAAGAGGGCCTTCATCAAGTGCTCTGTCTCCACTATTTGATGCTTGTTCTCTTTCGCCACATCAGGAGAAGAAACAATCGCTTGCCAAGCCATTTCTGTAAACTCCTGCTGAGTAATCTGTCATAATGCCAAACCCATTAGAGCTAAAAGCTCCACATTAGGAACAATAACAAGCTTGCTCCACATGCAAGAAGAATACTCACTCTACCACTCGAAGCTTCACATCGAACAACGAGCGTCCTGGAAGTCCTTGGTGATCGATCAAAGGCAAAGCCTCCATTTCTATTCAACCGAAGCGATGTACATCTCTTGAGCGAGCTAGCTTTCGCGGGGAAGCTCAGAGCAGGCCGCGACCGAGCATTCAACAGAACATTCCGATCGGATACCGAACTCGGAGCGCATAGATTGACACCAGGGAGCAACGATGTGGCGGAGGACATTGTCTGTTCCGGCAAGGCGGGTTGGGAGTGCGGATTTGGCGTTGGGATTTGAAATTAGCGATTCGTGTGGTGCTTTGCTTGTGGAGTGAGCGACGCAATGATGGTGTGTCCGTTACTGAGGAACATCTCGAGTTTAACCGAGGGGTCTTGGAGGCTTCCTGAAACCTCGCGAAATTGCTGGATGCAACCGTGACGGGTGCGCCTTGTGTCTCTATATCTTGTTCATACACGTGGACATGCCATGTGGATATGATGGAGAAAATGACTGTTTGGATGTTATT